GGTAAAGTCATGTGTGAAAGCTTTTTTTTCGAACTTTGATATTTCGAACAGCTCTTATCTCACAGCAGCGTTTTTTAACTCCAGTGGATTCGCTGGCAACTTTTCCAGTATTTTCCATTTTGCGCTTCTTCGTCAGGAGGAGTAGGCTGGTTATGTGGCCTAAATTAAAGAAAACAGGTGGGCAAAGTGGATTATTTCATGGTATCCACAAGTGTTAAAGGAACATGGAAGAGGCCACCGAAGCACAGAAAAGATCCGTTTGAACGACACATGGAATGATATACTTTCTTGCAAATATATTTTTAACAAATATTTAACATTTTTCATCCTATTTCCCGTTTCTTGCCAATATCGCACTTAATCCTTTAACCCTATAAATGGAAATTTCTATCATGGACGGTACGTTTCAGCTACGGTATATTTTACTGATAACAATTCTTTTTTATGGTATGAGACTGGCAAGAAAAGCAAAAATCTCTCCTTCGGGGCCTGCTTATCAGACCCGATTTCTCTTTTGGAGATTCAGCTTTCGCCTTTCCGAAGTAAAGCTGTTTAGTGCTCTTGACGCGGCATGCACAGACATCCCAGTGTTCAAGTTGTTTTTAACTGTTGTGTTTGTATAATGGGGTGGATAATTTTTGTTCATCTGTCGGCCACAACGATAACCTCATAATCCTAAAATTTCGCTCATAACGGAGACCAAGTTGACTGCTTCAGCTAGAATTTGAGGAAAAACTGGTTAACTGAAGTAAAACTTACAAAAGAAAATCATGAAGCATGTGAAGACAAGTGAAATGATAAGAAATACAGCAAACGTCTTCCAACTGCAAAACGGCTTCAGCCGCTTCCCGTCCATTGGCGGACAGCTACTGCTGCTGGTGCTGTACCTATCCGGAGAGACTTTTTTCAAAGTTGAACCCGCTTTCTTCAGACAACCCGATCCAGTTCTGATCTGAGATACTCGAATGCTCGCTGTCGATGGCACATTTGGTGAGGTCGAAAAGCTCCCTCTGCAAAATTAGCTGCTTGTTAACGGAGAGCCAAGATTGGCGAGAATAATGGATCTCTTGCCTTCTTGCTTCCTCATTGTGTGGTAAGGCAATCGTATAAGTGAAGATAGAGAGGTTACCTCTTTACTGCGCACAGATGTTAAAATTGGCAGCGATATATTTGATGATTTATGATTTTTAACTATTTTGCCCTCCTTCCCTCTCCTTCGCTTACCCTATCCTCGCCTCCCCCAAAAACACAAATTCCAATAGTTTGTTTCAGCCCTATCTGCAAAAAAATTTCCTCTACGTTAAAAGTAAAATCTTTTATCAGCACTGTTAAGACTGAGCAGGATTCATCCGTCGTAATAGTTCTAGTCCGTAACAGTTCTAATAGTTCTAATTCTAACCTATCCTTAATCGTCTGGACGGCTATTGCTGATACTGAAAATTCCTCATTCAGGATGTGAAAATTCATATTTTTTGACG